CAACTCTATTTATAGGTTAATTTCTTCATAATGATTTTTTTTCCTTTCAAGCACAATTTTTAAGCTGGAAATAATGACCAAAATTCTGTCCATGCAGTATGTAACAGCTCACTTTCCAAACACAAGCACTAGAACTTATTACGAAGTACTTCATAAACTTCTGTCACTGCAGAAGGAAGTGCTGTAAATTATTACAGTTTTTCCAATTTAATGAGCACATTTAAATCTTGAAGTGATAGTGTTACTGCCTGCACCAGGCACAGAGATTTTTTTTTAAAAAAAAAGAGAAAAAGATAATAATATTTCAAATTTACATTCACACCATGCAGAGTAACTGGTAAGCAATGACGTTTTTCAGATGAGCATACATTACTTAGCCTGCCACATGAAGGCATCCTGTAATTTGTAAACCATTTTAAACTCTACTGGAATTCAAGTTTTCTGTTTTATTTAAACATCTTGAAAGAACTAATATACAATGCTAAAATTACTGTTCTCAGTCTTTGGTGCATCACACTGTACAATTTTTAATTCTCCTCATCTCCTGTATAATTTTTAATTCTAGCGCTTTCCACAAACAGTCACTATTTATCTGTCACACAGCACGCTCAAAGCAGCTTTCAAGAAATATAAACTATTTCATGACTACTTCTGCTAAAGAGTTTTAACAAAATCTATACGTATTTCCACAGTCTTCTCCAACTATGCGTGACAAAAATCTAACAACACTGCAGAAAATCATAGGAAAAGAACATTTTCAGCATTTTACCAATGTGGAAACAGCTGCAGACATAAGAGTCCATGGCACGGCTGAGAACAGAGGCTTGGTATCTGCCTGGGCTCCCTTGCTTTGATTAGACTGGGAAGGGAGTGCCCCCTGGTGCAGGCTATCCCAGTCAAGTCTGGTAGGCATGAAACTGCCCATGGGCCTTTGTAACAAAAAGAAATAATGCAATTTCCAATTTCTGATTTAGTTGTTCTTCTATGTCATAAGAAAAGTTAAATGTAAGCAATTATAAGAAAATATTAAGAAACATTATTTGTAAATGTTTCAAGCATTTTGCACTACTTAGGGTTCTTCACCAGCTTTTATTCACACAGGAAGTTGTATTCATGAAAATGAAGTGCTTCTTAAAAAGAATGGTTGCTCAGATATGGTTGCTAATCTGAGGAGGCTGGATATTAATATAGCACACAAAAGATTTCTTAAGAAGTGCATATGTAAAAATAAGCATGAAACTACATCATGCAAGCAGTAAAGACAAGCAAATGCCCTATGACTTACATGACTAAAAATAAGGACTTCAAGCAGGTAACTGCCCCAAACTTCTATATTAAAAAGCCATACTTCAATGTTTTGTATATGTTCAACTTGAAATATGCTCATACAATATAGTTTACCAAATCTGAGTGCTCAAAGACAAAAGACTAAATGTGAGAATGTAATACATTGCCTGCAATGAATAGTTCACCTATCCCTTGTTACTTATTATTAAAAAGAAGGGCACTTTATTACCAAGCTGTAAAACCAGAATCTTTGGATGTGTGCATCTTGCTACTACACTGTTTTCACAGGATTTTTCAATGCATTTCCATGTAAATACACAGCAATGGTTTGACATCTTTAGTGCAACAAGTCTATTATAATTTTTGAAAGACAAATGCAAGCTTACAAGAAGTAACTGCTATGTAAGGCCATTTTCTTTAGGTTCGGGACACAGTATTGAAATACTCTTGTTATCAGAACCGTTCAGGTAAACCACCCACATAAACCTTATTCTGCAAATTCCACAAAGAGCATAACATATCCTCCACAATCACATGCACAGTTTCAAGGGATTAGTCAACCTTTTAACTATCAGCATTTAGAAGCAGCCCTGAAAAATGTTACAATTATCTTGAAAGCTTAGTAATTCTTACTGTTCTAACAGTTCAAACTGGTTTGGTATCTAAAAAAATGCCTAATATTTCACTGAGTCTGATGCTCCCTGGTCCAGTGAGCTCCTCAGGCTAATTCTATATTGTTAAAAAATATTATTCCTTCAGTCAGTGTCAGAATGGCTTCATTTCAATTTCATCCAGTTACCCTTTGCTTTTGTATTTAAAACTACAAAAAAAGACCTGAATGAGCTGCCCGGTCAATTCTCTCTGTATCTTTCATCATTCTGGGTACATTACCATCGCATCTCTGATTGTGTCTTCCCTAATGCCTGGACCAAAGAAAGAAACTCTGTCCAAAAATCAAATACCTGTTTCCAACTAAAAATAAATAAAAATTTGAAACAAACAAACAAAAACCCAAACCAATACAAACAAGCAAATAAACACAAACTCAAAAACCAAACAGAATAGTAACCCTAAAATGAAGCTCATGCTTTCCTGAACATAGTTAAGAATCTTCTTACATGATTTCTTGAAGTTACCCTCAGCTACACCTCCCAGTCCCTTCCCTTGCTTTTTATGGAAGCTTTCCCATTCCTCTACTACTTAATGACCCAACCTTTGCTTTGGTTTTGTTTCATTTGACAGAGGGCAACAAGAACTGAACAAAGCACATACCAGTGATTTATATAAGATTATTATATTTTCCTGCATTGTTCCCTTTTGTATTCCTCAAACATTTCAGTATTATGTTTGCCTTTCACACAATGTTGCTTATTAAAATAGAAAGGAATTTTAAAAGCCTGGACTTTTTAAAAAAATCCAGAACTGGTCAGGGATGTGGAGGCTGATGATAGCCTTGGCAGCAGCAGCCATAAGATGGTGAAGTCTGACATCCTGAAAGAAGCAAGCAAAACAAGTACTGAAATAGCAGCACTGGACATCAGGAGAGGCAGATTTTGGCTTGTTCAGAGACCTGCTTGGCAGGATTACATAGAAGACTGCTTTAAATGATAAATGGGTCCAGGAGATCTGGATATCTCTCCAGGGACCTCACACCATGAGAACGACGCATGCTGATGTGCAAGAAGTTAAGCAAATGTGGATGAAGGCCAACATGAATGAACTAGGGACTCCTGGCTTAGTTCAAATGGAAAAGTACGCAGAAGGCTAAACTGGGGAAACGTTAAATAGAGAAGGTATATAGGAGTGCACAGCCATGGAACTAGGAAATTCAAAACTCAGCTGGAGAAGAAACTAGCACAGACAACAAGAAAGGCGTCTGTATGTGTACAGGCAGCAAAAGCAAATTACCAAATTGGGGGGAGTGGCTGATAAACTAAAGGGCAAGTTTGCTATTCAGAAAGACCTTGACATGCTGAAGAAATGGGCTAACAAGATATCATGAAGCTCTACAAAAGCTCATGCAAGGCCCTAACACCTGACATAGAACAGCTACATGCACCAGTACAGCCAGGGGCCGACTACTTGAAAGCAGCTTTGCAGAACACCTATGAGTTGAACGTGAGTCAGCAACACGCCCTGGCAGCAAAGGGGCATCCAGGGCTGCTTCAGCAAGGGGGGAGTCAGCAGATCGAGGGAACTGACTGGTCCCCTCTCTTCAATACTGATGAGACCACATACAGACTACTGTGTCCATCGCAAGAGAGACAATGACATACTGGAGCAAGACCAGCAGATGTCCACCAGAACAAGTAGGGGTTGTAGCAGACGACATGCAAGGAGAAGCTGAGAGAACAGGAGAGATTTTACTGCTGTCTTCCAGTAGTTAATGGGAAGATATAGACGGGATGGAGTCAGATTCTTCTCAGATGTGCACAGTAAAAGGACAACAGGCAACAGGTACAAGCTGCAAAAAGGGAAATTCCAACTGAGCATCAGTAAAAGGAAAAAATCACTATGAGGGTAGCCAATGCTGGAACAGGTCGCCCATCGAGAGAGTGGTATCTCCAACTTTGGAGATAACCAAATCTGTGTTGGCCAAGGCCCTGAGCAATCTGATCCAAGTCAGCCTGAGGTCTGGTGTGGACAGGGTTGGTCTCCTGAGGTCCTTTCCAAAGGAGGTTATTCTGCAAGTCTATTCTATGACTCTGTGATTTTTAAAAAACCAACCAACCAAACAAAAACCCAAACAGAAAAATAAAAACAACAAACACCACACAAAAAATCTACCAAAAAAAAACCACCAGAAAAACACACTCACAACATCTGTATCTTGTATTTGAATTTCAAATATTTTTTGACTCTACTTCAACAACAGAAATTGTACCAGCCACCATGGCATATAAAGTTCTTCTAAAACCCATGCATCTTCTAATTAATTTGTGAGATTACCTTCAAAAAATAAACTATGAGAAAACCTCATCAATGTTACCCTAATGGAATTATATTAAGATATTGACTATAATTAACAGAAAATAGCTGCAAGACAGTCTCTAATATTGAAACTATTTTTAGCTAACAGAGCAAAGGGTATCTTGTGAGAACATAGTTTATTTATCTGATACTTTTTACTAATACATAAAATATTTTGAAAACAAAATTGTTATAATTTAATTTAGTAAATACAAACAGGGTGAAAAATGTAAAAGGACTATTCCTAAATAATTTAGATTTTTAAATTATACCAAGCTCAGAAGCACTCACTTTATTCATTTTTCTAGGCATTCACATGACAAAAGCAAAGCAAAAATAAACTATTTTTGGAAATAAAAATAACTAAGAATATGAGACTGTGAGAGTCAGTGACAGTATAAAGATTCTAAGTGAGACAACAATATAATACTCTAAGTGGACTGAATTTTCACACTTAACTTTTGAGGTTTCTTTTGGATTTTGTGCACTTGCTTACTCCAGTCTATATAGTGAGGCAGTGCTAATTTATGCCTTCCTACAGGGATGACGGCTGTCTATGCCAGCACCAGAAATTGAATCAAGAAACTCCAGAACCAAAACCTAACAGACTATAGTGCCTTAACTCAGAGCTGCAGATTCATGATTTATTCATGAAAGCTGATACCTACACACCAGCTTGTGAAATGCATTCTTTTGGCATTTAACACTTTTATTTCACTTATTTAAAAAATTGCGTATCTTACCTTTAGGTCACTTCCTGGTAAAGTACCTATGCCATCCTTCCAGTCCATAGCACTAAATACATCAAAATCTTGACCATTTCCACTTGACGCAGATTCATTCATGATGCATGTAGTACTAAAAAAAATGTTAAAAATAAAAAAGATTTTATCTGAAAATGCTAGAAGTGTTTTAATGCTTTTAACACTGGACATTTCATCAAATGTACTTCATAGATTAATATCAAACACCTCCCTCACGACAGCAGCAATTTGGGCAACTGATAACACTGCTGATAATATAACACTAATTAATAAAAACAAGAGGAAATATTTTAAAAACCTTGAAAAATAATACCTGTTTTATACACTAGGAGATTATAACATTTTAACTTGATGATCTTAAAGTTCTTTTCTAACCTGAACAATTCTGTGATTTTATCAATGAGGCTGTGTGGGAGAGAAGTGAAAAATTTCAAACTGCAAATAAATTGACATGGGGAAAAGATATCTCAAGTACACCTAAGAAAAGCATTTCTTCCGCAGAAGGAAAACATGAGTGCATGCCTATCATAAATACATTAAGCATCGATAAATAGAACTGCTTTTCCTTAATATCGGATAACATGCTGATGTGAATGCTTCATCCAAGTTCAAATAAAAATTTCAAAATTAATTTGAAACCATCTTTCATTTTTCCCGACTGACTCAGGACACCCAAATATTCCTTGTCTGTTTCCATACAGTTTCACTAGATTTCCTATTGCAAATTTCCTATTGTAAAATTTATTTGCATGTAGAAAAGCACACATACACCAGAGAAAACTACTGATTTGAAGACTTTTATTTTACTGGATCCCTCTGTTTCAGAACAGTGAAAGGAGCAGAGAGGATATTTATCTTCCAAAATAGTGGATTTGGGCATCCTCTTCTGCGGTAGGAGTTTATCCCACACCATTTACACAAGCAGCAAAATGCCACTGCTTGCCACTGACCTCTGGCTTTGGTCACCGCTCGTCATTGCCACAAAGAGAGCACCAGTTGCACTGAACTGCAAATGCTCCCAGCAGCCAGCTGTGATGACCACCAACTTCTTACAACCCAGCAATCTCTAAATCTGTGGCCTGGCACCTAATTTACTATTTGTTCCATGTGAAATCGGAGTCATTCATTTTCTTTCTGAGGAACTTCTGCACTATGCCTAGCAGCTGAAATGACCTGCAGCAAAATTATCTCTGTCTTCGGTCTGTGAACTATTAGCAAAAGCTCACCCCTTTTGAAATTTATACTTTCAGAACTTTTTAACAAACACTTTCTAAGGCTCATACTTTGTCTGCAGACTGTAAACTTTTGCCGTAAGTATCAGCATTTGAAATTCAATTAGGCAGAGAGCTTCCTCAGTGCCTGACATTGTTTTCTAAAATCTAATTTCTAACTTAGGTCCCACTCCCAAAACCTGCAAATATATATTAATACTCTCTGAAAATCTGGAATTTCCACTAAAAAAGACTGAGTGAAATTTGTTCACTCACAGATAACAGAAAAAGATGCAAACCAAGCAGAAGTAAACTCAGATCATCTAGAAGCTTGTTACTGAAGGTCTGAGGAGAAAAATGCTTAGCTAGTTAACTCTGTTGCATGAAAAATAATTGAACTAACTTTTTTTAATCAAAAAAATTGTATCAATCACTGTAACACCACCACTACAGACCGATAGTACTCTGGGTTTGGGTCTGCAATGTGGAATTTCTTGTATTTCTCCTTGGTTTCCTCCTAATTTCTGGCAGAATTATTTAAAATCCCGAGCAACCTCTTATTCTATGAATACTTTCACTACACTACAGCTACTACACAGTATCAGCAGAATCACAGGAGCTGGGCCTCAGTCTAACCACTGCTTAGGGAACTTCTGCATTCCTTTTCATTTCATATGACAGGTAGAGTTCATAGAAGGCTCTTTCAGAAAACTTTATGTATTTCACATGACAAGTTTGAAGTAAGAAGAATCACATAATTCAGTGTGCCTTCTCCATCTCTAATTTCAGTAATTCTCCGTGAGAAAGTACTGAAAACCACATCATCAATGAACAAAAATTCATTTAAAAATATGTCAACAAAGCTAAACAGATTCAGCGTGAACTGAGAAATTCTCCAAACCCATAGACCTTATATTTTAAAATCACTCCCAGGCAAAATCCACCACCCTATCTCAGGGCACCTCCTCCAGCACAACTTGGATGATCTATCTGACCCAAGAGCACGGTACATCACAGAGTCGAAGCCCACCAAGCATCCAGCCTTCCCCACCACAGCAGACCTGCTCAAGCAGGCTGACACCGAACTGACCTGCAGCACCATGGCAGAGGCACAGGCCTTCCCTCAAGAACACAAGATCCAAGCTGCTAAGGAGTAGCTGAAAAATTGGATCTATTCAGAAACCCATGAAATATTAAGGACATGAAACATGCTGGTTTAAGCACATTGCTGTAACAAGCTCCCTGCAATTAGCCTGGCTAAGCAAACACAAAGCCGTGTTCTGTATTAACTGAAGTTTCTAAGTAATCTTAGATTACCACCCTGTTTGGAGGACACTTCACTCAACCCTCCTGTGGTTTATTTATTATAGAAAACACGTTCCAATGGTTTCTGCAGAAGGCAAGAGAGAAGCAAGGAAGAGATTTGGGAGGCTGCGGGGAAACGATTCCTCGCAGCGGCCACTGTCCCAAGGAGTAAGGGGCAGTGGAGAGCCAGCCACTCCCCTTCAGATGCTGCTGTTCCCAATTGTGCTACTCCCATTATAGACACATTTTGTAACGGAACCAGTTGGGAAAAACATGACATGGGAAAAAAAAATCTTAGAGCCTAGCCTACTTGGACATGATGTACACTGTGAAAGTAAAAAAATACACCGGTAACGGAAATGCAGAGGGGATAGTGCTCTCAAGAAAACATAAAAATTTTAAATTAATTACACCTAAACAACTTTCCTTCGGTAACAATCAGCTGTAAGATATATTCTATTGTTCGATAAGGTATTCATTATTGTTTTTCATTTAAAATTAACTGAACATCAGAGGCACAATCTGTACTTTCACATTCTGCAGCCTTCAGAAATGTTCTTGGTGGGGATGAAAAGGTCACAGGGCAATGCAGCTAGAAATGAATTTACAAAAAAGAATTACATTTAACAAAATATCTGTTTCCAGCTTTGCTGAGTTTGAACAGATGAAAGATAAGGCTATATCCCTCTACTAATGATAATAAGGAGCGAGATAGAGACCCATTAAATTGCTACAGCAGTGAGGTACTAAAAAACGATGAAAACATCACAATATATACATCCAAATCACAGAATAAAGAAAACTACAGAATGTCTTATCTACTCATTTTCATTTTCAGTTTTAAAGCTCTGATGTAGTTATTTGAACTAGTATAACTTCTTCCATAATTATTTAATTAGCTAGCGTTTCTGCTGCTACACTTCCTGCAAAGTAGTAGAAGTTGTAGATGAATAAGGGGCAAAGTAACTACAGTACTGTCCCTATGTCTGTCACTGAAAGCCATCTAGTGTGAATGAAAGGACATCATAGCAAGAACATGGAACAGTCATCTTCCAAAAGCATCTCCAAAATCCACTATTAGGGATGTAATTGTATCGCAGTCTTCACAGCCATCAGCTATAACATTTACAGAGGACTGCACTGCATGTTAATATTTCAACATTAACTTTGTTTTAGATATATGTAATAAATTCATTAAAATAAGCAAGCATATAAAATAAGATTAGACAAAACCTTTAGAAAAGCCTTCATTTTTACAAACCGGTTCAACAATAAATGAGTACCTCACAGAGGAGACACTTAATGAGAATAACAGCACTGAAAATGAGATAGTTTCATCTGGTGAAAGACTCTCTGAAGATGTAAAGCAAAGAAACAGGAGAGAATATGCCAATTAAACTTACAAGTAGTTTTTGAAATAATTACAGGGTTATGTACTGAATACATCAAGAAGTAATAATAGAAGAATTTTTCTTTCAGTCAGTGCTTTAAAAACTACCCGACACCTACCCAAATTTTGAAAATTTAAAATGATACCTGAAAAATGTCCATGATTTTAGGCCAGCAGGGCCAACTCAATACCAGGTCACTGGGCAGCAAAGAGAGGAGATTTCAGCAGTAAGGCCACCGGTCAGCACTGGCAGACTGGCATAACCTGTCTGTGATAGTGGATCTCTTCTTTTTATACATCCCTGTGTACTTTTATTTTTGAGTATTTCTGAAGCCACCATGACAACATAGCACAGCAGATTTGCTCTGTGCTGGTCCTCTCCCCAGCTGAAAGCTCCTGTGAGGAGGGGTAAAAGTGGGGTTGTGGAGCTGGAGGAGGTCTCAGCAGCAGAGGTCCCAAGGGAGGTGATGTCCTTATGGAGCAGAGCCACGGTCTTCCCCATAGGGCGAGGTGACACCAGTGCTGACAGATGTTCAGAAACAAAGGCAACAGGTGAGGTTTTTGTCCTAATATCGTAGGTGGCTATTTTGGGCATCTCCAAGTGGGAGGCTGCTTGGTGTAGCACGCATGGGCTAAAGGGACACATTTTCCCTACACTATAAATCAGGAAAACAAAGCGGACCAGAGAGGACTCAGTGTACCAGAGCTGCAAATATGCTAACTTTTAGACACCAGGAGACAAGTGGATGCTCAGCTTCAGCTTTATTTAATGTGCAAGAATGTGACCACCACCAGGGCTGACTTGTTACACCACATGAAGCAGAACTACCCCTCTCAACATAAGCTTCCTCTCTTTCAGACAGACTTTGTATTAAGCTTGCTTCATAATGACAGGAAAAGCAAAGCCAGCTGACTGTAAACCCACTGAGGTAAGCCCTGCTTTTCTCCTCACAACCCTCTCTTTGAGCTAGGTGCACCCCATGCTTGTGTCTTTCTCATCCTTCATCTTTTTGCACCTGATTCTTCACTTAAAGAAAAACAACCACAACAGGAACTGTGCAGGAAATGGTAAAACGCTTTGAGGCAATCCACCACATTTCAGTATCTCCTTTGTTATGTACCTGTTCAATGGTTTGATTACTTCAATGTTTCACTAAAAGAAGTATCTGCAGATTACACAT